TTTTCAAGCAAATTGTCATGAACTTAAAATTACAAAAGATGATTGTAGATCAGTCATAGAATTAGTTAAATTGATGGAAAAAGTTTTTAAGTATGAAAAAGAAAGAAAATCAGAGTTCAACTTGTGGCTGTCAAATTATTTTAATGAACCTGTTGACAAACTACCACTTCCTGCTGACCATCAAGAAGCTGATATAGGCTCTGTTGTTATCATTGGACAATTATCATTTGTACTCCTTATCGGTGAAATAAAAAATGAGATTGGGGAAGGAGGCGGATGTGCATATGTGCAGGCTTGCGCATCTTATGCAAAACAAGTTGCTTTGAACAGAAATAATGTAATATGTCAAGGTCTTAACCCCGCTTTCCTTCTCTATCTCGCAGGTCCTTATCTTGGCATTGGTGGAGCTGTTTTAGGCAAGGAATTCACAATGGAACCTCTCACGCCAATGTTCCCACTTTTGTTTATGAAGAATGACTTAAGTGCAATGGAATCACTAACTCATGCCTTACTGGCATTGAAAGTTGGGATCAAAGAATTAAAGAATTATTATCTGACATGTTATGAACAAATTCGATGTATTGAGAACAATGCTCTCTTGCGGCCTGAAAACTTTCCACAAATTTGTCAGTTCATGATAGGAGAAACAAGTTTTACTTTTTCTTATATGAAACAGCTACATAATGAAAAACTATTGTTTTTAGTGAAAGGATTGTCTGGAGCTTTTTTGGGTAAATTAATATTAGTGAAATTTGTTAAAAGATATGGTATAGATGCTCATATTTATTGTGCGGATCAAGGAATAGCACCTAAATTCTATGCATATAATAAAATACCTGGCTGGTCTATGGTTGTTATGGAATACCTGACAGAATATGTTGATATTTACACTGCCATGCATGATCTTAAGCTAGATCAAAAAGTATTGTTCAAGAAAGCAGAAGAGACTATTAAAATCTTGCATGATAGAGACTTTGTACATGGTAACCTACAAGCATCAAGTATCTTGGTTTCAATTGATATGAGGCAAATGAGAATTGTAGACTTCGTTTGGAGTGGGTTAAATGGAAAAGTTTTTTATCCTTATTTTATAAACAACTCCGTTCCTTGGCATCATGAGGTAGACTGTGGAAAACCAATTAGGATGGAACATGACAAATATATTTTTAAAAAAATATTAGGATGTTGATCCTTCCTTTGTGGATAGTTTTACGCATTTTTATAATAACAAACACTTGAAATTTATAATGTTTTTTATAATGTTGTTTAGTGCAAAAGTTGTTATTTTATTTGTACCTAAAATATTTAAATTCTTGCAAATTATTTACTATTTATCAGAATAATTAACAATGAATAAAAAAGTGAATATTGTGACTATACATGCAGCCCAAAGTATTTTGACACTGTTGTAAAGGTGGTTACACATGTCGTAAAGGGATGTTACATTTATGTTTTTAATAGTAAATGCCATAATTAATTTTGACTTTCGACCTTCAAAATTGGGATAATTTTGACTTTTGACATCAGCAAATCAATTTGTTCTGCATGTATAATTGTGACAGATCCAAGATATGTTATGTACTAGTTATTGTATGGGTGTTTAAAATATACATACATACTGTGGACTGGCGATAAAAACCACTTCCCTTCTATATATGGCAATAATTCATAAATCACTTCTATTTTAATCAATTTTAATTAAATTTCTATATTTAGTATATATTAGCAAAATATTTATTATTTTTTTTACTACAAACATTTTTCCAATTATTTATTATTTAAATTTACTTCAGGAAGTAACATGTTCAATTTATCCATATTTATCATTATATATATATATAAATAGTTAGAATAGGGAAGTAACGAATTCAATTCATTCTTAGAATTAAAATTCGTTCTTGGCGAAGAGCCATGTAAGCAAAGCTGCTTACGAATTTGTATCACTTTAATATTAAAAAGTATTTAAGAGAGAGGAAGTTGAAGTCCTCTTCTCATCATGTTCTCACACATACTCCTTTGAAAATAATAACTTCTAATGCTTGTAATAACAATATTATAATCAAAATAATAAAGCTACTACTATTTTGGCAATATAACCCCCATGGGTATCTTCTTACTTATTGAAACACTAATCGTTTTATAAACCAAAACTCTTCACTATCTTCTATTAATTATTGTTGATCTGATGAGGGACGCTCCTAGGAATAACTATTATCTTGAACACTAGTGGATATTCTTTGAGAGAATAATATATAGATGCTGGTTTTAAAGGAAGTTGAAAGACTACTTCGAGGAATTTATAAGTATACTTGAGTATTTTGGTTGGACAGTGTGATGAATATTATATTTTGGTTGGTTAGAGTCCAATGAGGCTAGTGTTAGTGACTTTGTTTAAAGAAAATAAAGTGTATTGGTAACAATCCCACCAGAAGTTGCAGTATACAGATTTTGTATTATTATTTTAACTATTTTTAAATATCTGTGATACACCCCAAACTTCACAGTTCACAATACAATAAATTAATATACAGTTCGCTCTCTATAATGAATACTAAGTAAAATCTCTCTATAATCTTAGTAAATACTCTCTATAATGAAAAATCACATATAGGGATGGAAGAATCCTGAAATTTTGAAAATGTAAGGTGCAATTTTCTCACTTTGTTCTTTCTTCAAAATACTTCTAATGGTGTTGTAATTCTTGGGTCCCATAGTAGATCTGATGTAAATGAGTTTCATATTAACTATTTTTGTCTAGAAAAATACACAGGTAATACAATTGTGATGTCAAACAAACACTATTGAACCCTGAAATCCTTGGTAATACCAATGTTCACTTTGTATGGTTTTGTTGCAGTATGCCCCATATGTTGCTTGTTCTTATATATATCATATCATTCATATATTTTATAATAAATTTTATCTATGTACCTTATATATTTATATTGAATTCCGTTTATTTGACTAAAAATTATGCAATTTTTTGCTTCATACGTAACCTTTAGATTGATTTGCATCCAAACATATCCCAAATCTTTAAATGAAATTGCATAAGGAAAAGATAATAACTGCATAATTTTTTTAAAAAATAGTTGTTTAATGAATGGTGTTACCCATAACAACACCTGACGTATTTTGAGTACTTTAAACAATTATGAATTTATGTCATACAACATAAATTAAATTTATCACAGTGATCATCAAATTGTGACATATAGAATTTCCACTATGCTATAGGATGTAGCAGGTCTATTTATATGTTTAATCTATTAGACTACTAGCACTTGACCATGAAGTAGCCTATTTTATGAAAATGTGATAGCATAAATTTGGAATGCATCACATTGATGTGTGGCGAATATGTGATAGTTTGTGTGACCAGACAACAAAAACTCACCGCCATCGCCATCCTGATTTATCATAATTCATATGTGGCCTGACAACAAAAAATTGCCACCACCGCCATCCTGATATATGATACTTCACATACAGTGTGTAAAAAAAAAACTGTAAATTTGTGAATGTAATAAAAATCCATCTAGGATAATTTGTTTGCAACGCGTAAAATGGAAAACAAACATGATGATCAAGCTTAGATTTGAGCATCATTACTAATCAAAATATATTTTGTACTTTTCGGAAAACATTGTTATGAAATGACTGGTTCGAAGTAAGAAAGATAACGCAAGGCCATATTACATTTGTGGAATGAGGGTGTGCGCAGTGGCTGTGAAATTCATGCACACACCAACATCCTCCTATCTACTATTTATGACGACATCAAAACATTAGATCACGCACGAATGGGGTAACGGCCACCCAAGGAAGATTAATGGAAACTCCTCGAAAGCACTTGGATAATACATCCAAAGGAATTTCTCAATTTCAACAAGAACATTGACCAAAAAATTGTCCCAAATTGGTGTTGAAGTATTTCACATGACTATATCAAGACATTTAACTGCTTATGGATACAAAAAAGCTCTCCCAATGGCAACACCAATGCTTACCAACGCTCATTAGCAAAAACGTGTTGAGTGGGCACAAAAACATCTTAATGACAATTGGAATCAGACCTTATTTTCGGATGAGACAACCTTCCAACTCTTCCGAAATACTGTAGAACGCTGATATAAGGGTGTACAGCCAATTTATTCCATACCAAAGGACCGTACAAAAATTTTTGCTTGGGGTGGATTTTGTTTGACGGGCAAAACAAGCTTATTTTGCTTTTGACAAATAATGGACGCTAATTTTTTTGATGAGATGTTCCAAAAGCATGTTCCAGAGATCAAACAGATGCTTGGAGATGATTGGAGGCTCCAACAAGACAACGATCGAAGCATACAAGTCGTCTTGCTAAAGAATTCCTTCAAGAGGATGTTTCGGAAGTCATGGATTGGTCATCAAACAGTCCTGACTTGAATCCAATCGAAAACCTTTGGGCGATTGTGAAGGGAAATGTAGAGAAACAGATGCCAAAAAATCTCAATGAATTGGAAAGGTTTATGGCAGAGGAATGGTGAGCTATCCCGGAAACTGTTATAATCAATCTTGTGGGATTGATGAAGCAACGTTGTGAGCTTACTATTGAACAAATGGAGAAGAAATCTCCTATTAATTAATATTAATAAAATCTGCTGGTGTTTAGCTTTCAAATAAAAAAATTTTCATGCAATGACCAATTTTTCAATTCCAGTTTTTTTTGTTACACACTGTATGTGACAACGGTACCAATTCTCGTCATCAAGCCACATAGTAAATACATAGTCTATTAAATTATGTATCTATTCCTTTTAATCCTGCAACAACTATGGCAAGTGTTCATCCAAATGCTGTTTATACAACTTTCTCAACCTGTAAACTCCAATATAATAATGGTAACTATCATCAATTATTTTAAAATTATCAGCATTAATTAACATTACCAGGTGGCGAAGAACAATTTTGAATTTTAGTTGTAGTATGAGACAGATAAAATCTGAAATCTGAAATTACAGATCAATCTAGATTTCGGATAAGGGTGTATTTTCAGATGATAAGGTTATCAAATCTTGTCAGATTTTCAGATAGAACCATAGAATCTGAAGTTCAAGTAGAATCAGGTGCTTTCCCACCTCAAATAGTCAGTAACATCAATTAAAAATTCTTGAGGCTCAGATAATAGTTTTTTTTAATAATGACTGATGAGTATATTTAGCAGTATTAATAAAAATTAATCGGTTAACCTTTTAGCTAAACTAAAATGAATAATTATCTTATTGATTGATTCGTTTAAACGTTCATTGCATTTTAGTTGTTCACAGTTATCACATACAGCATATCCATTATTATCACACATTGGATACAGTAAATTGCTAAATTTCTTTGTCCAAGCACCAATTTGCTTCAGCTTCTAATGCTCCTTCAAACACTTGCTTTCTATTTATGATGGAATTTATATATTTTAAGCCACAAAGACCCCGACACATATTCATTATCATCATCAATATGTTCCGCGGGATTTTTTTTTTTTTTTTTTTTGACAAATATACTTCAATGCAAGGTTGGTTGTTCACAAAAAAATTACAATATTTATCTTTGCTAAGATCTTTTCCTTGGATTTTAGTTTTTCTTGTCTCTTCTTGGCGATAATACCACGATTAGTATATATTATTAGTTGTTATAGTGGTAGAATCGTCTGCTTCTGTTTTCTTTTCTTCTTGTCACAGCATACTGCTATCGTTATTATATCTCTGTTCAACACGATTTTCTATATAGAGTGTTTGGAATACCATTGTGTCTTTGACTATAATTGTTACTTTATGATTTTTTCATGATCAAGATTGTTAATAGAATAATATGTTTTTTAACTCTAGATTTAACAATTTCAGAAATATGACAAAAGAAAGGGCTTGTGATCGATGGTACTTGGTAAGATTTTCTTTTTCGGTTAATGTCAAATAAGGAATTACTTGGGAAACCAAAACCTTTAAATTTTAAAATTTAAAAATTTTTTTAAAAGCATTTTTTCGTTGATATATATGTTCAGTATATCAATTATTATAATTATTATTATTTACAACAGCAACTCTGGTTCTTCTACTATCAACACGAGTACATCACTTCTAGACACTATAATCCTTATTTAATAATCTTTTAAAAAAAAAGTCATTCGATTGAAATCTTTGAAAAAAAATAAATTATTATCAAATATATAAATTGTTGATCGCCAAACCTATTTTGAAGAGGCGGAAGTCAAAACTTGGCAGAAATTTGGAATTTAAGCAAAATTATAATAATGACTTACATTACAAGTCTTTTTTTTTAGAAAGAAGATTATGTTTGGGCATATATAAAAACTATTTTATTTTTGTAAACTAATTGGGCAAGTCTACAAATGGCTTCTTCCCGTCGCACGAAATCAATATTAATAACAAGTTTGTTTATAGAAATAATAAAGAACATTTTTCACGGAGATTTTTACTTTCTGTAAATTGATAAAATAAATGAATAGTATGAATAATACATGCAAAAAAATATGAAATTAGCATTTTACAACCAATTGTTCATTTATCAAAAAGGCAAACCAAGTAAGTAAAGTAGAAAAGGATAATGGGTCTCCGCTTTGAACAATACTCTATTACAATTACTATAGGAACTCCTTAGTTACTTTAAAATCCATCATAAACTACATAGAAAAACATATAGTATATTTAAATCCACGATGCTCTTATCTTTAAATTATTCGAGACAAGAATTTGGGCTCTTTATCTTTTAGTTCTTGTAAAGTCGGACTTATATCTAGAAACATCAAGAGTTATGTGATCTGTGACAAATGTCATGTACAAGCACAAGTTATATTTCTATGGGTAGTAACTTATTACTTTTGTAATAAATAGCTAAAGACCCGCAAGTTGACATTTTAAAAAAATTAGTCGTGTAACAAAAACGATTTTCCGATTAAATCTCATCCTTATCCTTCAAATTTTTTTTTTTTGATCACAAAATGACTTCATTATTTCGTAAATTTTATGAAAAACTTAATCTTAGAATATTAAATGATACGCCAAATCCAACAATATCAGATCTAATTGCAAAACTAATATCAAAACCAAAACCAGTAGCAAAACCAAAATCAATAGCAAAATCAATAGCCAAACCAATAGCAAGTCCAATAATAAATCCAAAGCATACATTTTTAATAAAAGATAAAACAGGAAAATATAAATATGATGTCAAACCAATCGAAGTAGTGGATTTGAATACAGAAAAAATAGTGCCAATACCTAAAGATGGCAAATCAGTCGAGGTAACAGAGAAAAAAGGAGATGGATGGATGGATGGATTTTATAATAAAATTTAATTTAAATTTTTCATAATAATAATAATAATAATAATAATAATTGAGTGTAGGAAAGATTTGCATATCATTTCTTGGAAGCTTTAGCAACTAATAAATTTCCAGAATTAAATATTTTCAGAGTAAGAAAAATAATGAAAACTGGTAATAAGCATTCTCGGTTTAAAGTTTTAACTCAATTTAATCAAGCATGGGATATTATGTACGAAGAGTCTCCACTTGTTAATAAAAAAAATGTAAGGAGCAAATTACAAAAAAATCTTTATTTCTCTAATGTTTATTATTTATTTATATTAACAAATTTCTTTCCATCCTTGAAATAAAAGCACACCTATGGTTGGAATGAATTAACCATTATTATTAATCATATTCGTAAAAGAATCAAAAAAGATGGATATAAACCTAAGCAACATATAAGAGAATATATGAATGAATTTGAGAATGTAAAATTCATCAAGAAAGCAAAACAAAATTAAAAACAGTAATGACTTTTATTTCATTCACTGATTATCATTATTATCATCATCATCACTCACTCTTACGATGTTAAAAATCCTTAGGAAACAATTTCCCATCATTATTTAAAATACTAAAAAAGATCTTGACGCGAATTCAGTATCAAAAATTATATTTTTTAAATCACGATTATGTCCAAATGCACCTTGTGCAAATTGTAAACTTTACATATTGAGTGTTGGTGAAGCCAGCTATTTTATTTCTTTATACGATTTAACTGATGTTAACATGCTGCACACACGGCTGGATTAATTTAGCATATTGACTCTTTAAAATTATTTACAGGAGATAGATGGTGGCATGGTGGATTTTACTTGGCAGACCGACAAGATTTCTCTCTCTTTATTATAGATGTTTGATCTTTTATTTAACATAAATAACATTAATTAATTGTTGGAAAATTGGGTCCAAAATACCAAGAAGAAAAATGTACATCTAAAAAACAACCAACTAACCAACTACCGAAGACCAGAAAACATCAAAAGATTTAGATATTCATTAAATATCTTAAATTAATTTATTTATTATTATAATAATCATTAATTATTCTATCGCGAATAAAATTTTATTTTATTTAATATACACATTCACCTATATATTGTTTCAACAAGTATTATCTGTGAAGTCTAATTAATTTCTTTAGTTTGTATGTGCTTTATTCGCAGAGTTGATAAACATCAATTGGTATTGTCTTGTTGTTGGTATGTTCTTTCGAGCAAGCCATACTTGAAATTTTGCGGGAATAAATCCTTGCACAAAAGTCGTTATATTTTTCTCTTGGCTAATAATGTTTGGATTTTATCTAGTATTGAGCCTATAAAACTTTTTATAGGGTGTCAATGATTTTTGTCAATCCAGATTCTTTCCATATTCTCTGGACCTGCTTAGCTGAATAACTATAAGAAGCAACACTTATTTATGCTGCTGAAGCTTTACATTCTGACATTGTAGGATTTTTGAAATGGATTTAATTTAATTATAACGGTACTATTATTCCTATTGTTATCACTGTAACTAGTATTGTAATTTAGAATGGATATGTCTAATCGGATTATTCGATCTTTGATAATAATAATAATAAGTTGAGAATTTATTTTTCAAAACTGATTGATCCATCCAACGAGTCTTTGTTACACATCAAAATCAAGTGATTATCACGTGATCAAATCCGAAAAATTGCTAGCTTAGAAAAAATTCTTGGAATATGCTAGTTATATCTCGCGAAGTAAAGAAATATTAGAAATATCACCAGAAACCAACCTCATTTAAAATTGGAATAGAAATAATCTTACAACTATGAAGGTTCAGGAGGTAGTGATGACCATCTAGCAGAAGAAAGAATGGAATTAATGTAACTATATATTGCTTGTAATAACAATGAAAATTAGAATAATGTTATTATTACTGACAAGTGTAATCCAGCACTTAAAACTATATTTATTCAAACACTATGATTTAACTCTTTTTTTAACTCAAATAGAAAATATAACGGTTTTTTGTGTGTTAGTCTTTGATTGGCCAATGTAAAGTTCATATTTCACTGCACACATAAAAGAATACAATGAATTTACGAGACACCAAAAGGTTATTAGAGAAAAAAACTTAATGTCAATATAAAAAGCGCAACTCTCAGATCTCAAATCTCAGAATTCTGAAGAATACACATGAGGGGAGATTCAACAAATCATTATTAGCGTTAAAACAAGGAATTTTTACACAATAATCCTCCCAAATACAGATCTAGGTGATTTAAACTGGCGTCATGGGCTTAAAAAAGAGAATTCAAAATTTTATTTTTTAAGTGTGTCTCGATCCAGATTTAATGTATATGATTTAAAATATTGATATACATAATAAAGCGATTCTTTATTATGTATATTAATTGTAAATTAATAATATATTTTTAGAAAATTAAGATAGACCGACCATTAACGAAAATTTCAACAAAAATACAGTGGTTGGGTTTGGATAAGGAAAGTACGACGATATCTTAAATCTAAATGGTCAACGCTTAAACATGCTAACATGAAGTTGGTTCTTTATTCGATTATGGATTGAATTATACGAACGTTCGAATTATTTGGTATTCGTTATTTCATTGCTTTAACTAAACATCAAAAAAATCAAATCGCATTATGTACGAATTTATTCTATTAAATATAGAGGGGAGAAAAAGAGTGAAGCGTCAAAAACAAGAATTAATATGTTGTTGGACTAAAGCCAGATTTTATGTAACTTTAAAACATGAAGGCTTAGCCAAGAAGTAGCCTATTTTGAGGTGAATCAAAAAAATTACATATATACGGCGGATCAAAACAAGCTTTGTAGGCTTGGTGCAAAAGGTACATGATATAAGTGAAGATTATTTTTTTAAGAATTATTAAAGTCAAAGCCAACACATAAAAAACTTGCATTCATTCGGACAACTTATTTTACTCCAAAGAATACTAATAATAAAATAACCAGCATGTGTAGGAAGAGATAATGATTTATGATGGATGAGCCAAGGATCAAGTTCTTGTATTTTTATTTGACTTGACAACAATGATGTATGACGAAACTTTTGACTTTAGCCATTGACGTAACTAAAGTATTGACTAAGGTAGTCTCTCACCAGGATTATTTTGACGATTTGACTAAAGTAAAAGCCCTTGACGTAAGTAAAACCACTTGACGTAATTAAAAACACTTGATGCAAGTAAAAATGCTTGATGCAAGTAAAAACACTCGATACAGGCAGCAATAACAATAATGATAAAATAGGATTATCAAAAGTTCCAAATTATGTAAAATTGTGTGCCTCGGAGTGAATAAAGAATTATCATCATTTATTGTATGTATATTGCAATGATTCAAGAAGAATAATTATCATGAGAAGTTATAGAAATTTACTTAATTAAATTATTACTATTCATTTTTTTTCTTTCAAAATAAAAATGCCTTTTCTTTTTTACAAATTAAAACTATTCTTTATTATTACATTACATAAATGCAAAAAAATCAAATTGTCTTTACATACATATTGTATGAGTTGCATTGACTTTGAAGTTAACTAAGCATAATAGTAAATACGCAATAATATTAATAATGTGCTTGAGCTGTCTTTAGAGGTTGATCAATATTGGTACTAAGAACGACTCTTACAAAGCATATAAGACAGGGTTTCAGTACATATTTTTGTAAGTTTTAATTTGTTTACTATTTTTATCTCTCTTAAGTCTTCAAAGAATTTCTTTTATTACTGAATCATGATTAACCAATCGCTAGAGTTTGGTGATGATGAAGTTCAAATAATGCAATTTTCGTTTTTCAATTTACATCCTTATCAGTCGACATGTCACAGAGAGTGTAATTTCATATGTGAAATTAAAATTTCAAATCCGTGTAACAAATCGGGTTTTAAAAATATCTCGACTTTCTAATAATAAACTTGAACTTCACTATTAAGATAAAAAGAAACTACACCATTTAAGCTTTCTAACCATATATTTTTATATCTGAGAACGCTCCCTATATAAAGCTATGGCTATTTAAAAGTAGTGGTGCTTTTTCACTTCAAAGTTGTGATTATCTACTAATATCGCTTTAAAAGACTTGATAGTAACAGACAAGGTGTAGAATACTTTAAGCTTTCATATGGTTATTACTTTATAGGGGGTGTTGGTTTAATAAGTTTTAGAGAGGCTCACGAAAACTCTTTCAGAGACTTTTAATATTATTCATGTAAAGATCATTCACTGAATCTTTTTTTGCAATTAACAAAAAAAATGAATAAATTGAATGGACTAAGTATATCAATTATTTAAAATAATAAATTTTATAGGTATATTATTTATTTGATGAATTAGAGATAGAAAAAAAAAAGTTAAGTATTTTTGTTTCTTTTGTATTTATTATACAAATGATCTTTAATTTGTTTTAAGTCCAAGAACTTGAATAATTTTTTAATTCCATCAATAATTCTTCAACAAAACTTGCAGGCAAAAATTCTGAATGTTGATCTAACTTTTTAAGGATTTCTTTTTCTTCATCTGAAAGCACCCTTCTTCGAATTACAATTAGATCTGGTAAAGTTAAATTTGAGGTAGAAGGTACTGGAACATCCTTTTCAATTTGATTTGATATTTCTGGCTGTTGGATAGGCATTTCTGAAACCTTTGCTAATTCCATATTCATTGCATCTTCTTATATTTCTTCTATTTCTTCTACTCTTTTAGATGTATCTGTATGTGGAACAACATGGACTTTTTATAATATTTAATATAGATAAGGCATCAGTCTTGGTTTCTGGCATAATGACAACATCACTTGTGTAAAGCATTAGGAAAAGCAAATATTAATATTACTATGCCAAAATGTAGTGAGCTTTATTACATCAGATTCATTGAACACAGGCAGAGGTAATTTGCATTGTTTTCTTTTTCTTTTTATTGCATCATATTTTTTTCTTCTAGATCATAAATAAGCCAAAAAATAAGGTCATTAAAATCTTCTGGTGTTATTTCATAAAATTCAGCAAGTGTGGCAGGTTCTCTAATGTTTCTTTATTTTCTATGAGTTGGGTATGTGATTTCCATGCAGATGTTTCTAAAGATTTACTAAATTTTATATATGATTCTGTTTGTAATTAATTTGATTGTAAATTTTCATTTATAGATATTTTATTTACTCTAAATGCTACACTTAAAAGAAATAAAGTTGGTCTAGGAACTATTAAACTATTAGAAGATATGGAAGATTCTTCTACTATGGATTCTGTTGATGTGAAATCTTATACTATAGATTTGGTAGAAACTTCTGTATTAAAATTTTTAAAAACTTATATTAAAAGATTTAATTCGTGCTCCGTGAGACAACTGCAAAATTTTGCCGATAGTTAGTATAATTTTGTGGCGATAATAAACAATATTAATAATAATAATTTTTGGAATTTTTGGAATATGACCGTCCCTCACGTGAT